ACCTATTTTGCAGCCAATTTACAGAAAACATGTCCGCGAACCGGCGGCGGAAACAACTCAACACCTTTTGATTCTACACCAAAAACAGTTGAGTAAAAACAAAATTAAAATTATCCTAGTATCACAGTTTAGTCTGAGTAAAATTTACCCAAAATCCATATATTTCTCCCAATATATATAAGCTAAAATGAATGAAGCATTCATGTTCTTGTATTCTCTACAATGTCATAAATTATTTTCAACAAATAGACTATATGTAATATGTATAAACTGTAGAATACGAAAATCGAAAACACCGCGTCGACACCATATCTAATAATGATATTAATGATTTAAACTCTAGATTCAGAAATGAAGGTGAACAAGGACTGGATTTCATTACCTAAAGACCTTTCAACTTGATTCTAGCAGCAATAGAACCAAAAGCTTCTCCTTAGTCAGACGTGACTTCAATTTCAACACAATGTCCTTTTCTACAACAAAAGCAACAAAGCTAGTCAATAAAACTACGAAATTTCTTTCTCAAACCACACTGAAATCAAGGAACACTACAACATTTTTTGTCTCTGGCAACACTTTTTTAGGTAACATGTAAAAATTGTTGCCTAAAATTCGTAAAGGCAACAATTTATGGCTGTTGACAAAAATATATTTGCAACCCTTGATAATCGTTGCCTAAAATATTTTTGGGGACGTTTTTAGAGCGTCACTCTTTTATTTGTTTGGTAACGATTGTTAAATGTGCCTTTAACTACTTTTGAGGACGATTTTGGAGAGTCATTATACTATTTCTTTAGCAATGTTTGATAATTGTCCCTTTAAATACTTTTGGGGACATTTTTAAATTGTTACATTACTTCTAATAAAATGCTACATTCATTCAATGTTGCATAAAATTTTAGCAACATCAAATTTTTTGTGGCAATCTTCCCTCCAAAGTTATCCACTAAAAAAATATTTTCCTCTAAACATTTTTTTAAAAAAATTAAATATAAAAAATCATCTAACACATAATATAATAATATTGTAGTATATTGTTATATTATGTGTTAGATAATTTTTTATATTTATTATATCATCTAACACATATCTCACATTTAGAGAAAAATATTTTTTAGATGGTTTTTTATATTTAAAATTTTTATTTATTGTTAGGGCGAAATATTTTATAATATTACATACCATAACTATTCATGTGAATAACTTTTATAATAAATTAAATATATTTATAAACTTTAAATTTATTAAATAAAAATAAAAATACTGATTAACTAAAAAAGTTAAATATAATAATATAATAGTATATTATTCTATTATATGTTAGATAATTTTTTATATTTATTATATCATGTAACACGTATCTCACATTTAAAGAAAAATATTTGTAAATGATTTTTTATATTTAAATTTTTTATTATTATTTAACACATTCCACCATTTATAAGAAAAATTTTATATAAAAAAATAACTAATCTCTATCTCACGTTTTAGAATAAAAAATATAAAAAAAAATAGAAAATAGAAAAAAGAAAAAAAAAACAAGTTCATCCACCCCTTATCATCTCCTCTCTGTTTTTCATCGTTACACCATCATCACCCTAATTTTCTCTCTCCGTCTTCACGCGAACTCCCTTTCATTTTCCTTCCCTTTGTTTCACCTTCGCCATCACTGAATTCATCCCCATTCTTCTTCTCCCAACAACAAACCCTAACAGTCGCCGTCGTCACCATCCCCACCTCATAACCCTTGCTCCTCACCATCTATCCTCCTCACTCAATCAAAACCCCAATCTCGTCGCCGCCAACCTCCGACACTGCGAATACGAAGAAAGGGCCACCCTCAAACGCCTTCTAAACCATCGTGGAGACGTCAACTTATAGGTCTTCAAACTCACGCACAAGTTCCAGCATTTGCGGCGACAACAGTGGAAACGAGCAACCTTGACACAACCCAGCTTTTCATCAATAACACAATTTGATCTTGCGCTTCTCACACCCAACGACTCCAAGTGACGTCGTCAAGCTTATCACGGTCGCACACTGTTCGTTTTGTTAACAGGATTTTACTCTGCGACTTATAGTTTTTCCAAGATTTAAGGTATATTATGTTAATATTTATTGATTTCTCTACTAATTGTTCCAATTAGTAGAAGTATTCTCTACAGTACCAACGATTGTGTTGTAACAGTAATTCCATTACTAAGCTACAACTTTGAAGCATTACCTTGAGTGATTGAAGTTTAGTAAGCCAACACCATGATATGACTCGTTATCTTTCAAATTTTCAAAATCAATAGTTGCTGATGATTTCTAGCGGTCTTGTGCAGATTGGATACGGCGGTCCCAACAACATGGGAAGCCTAATCAGGGTAGTTAGTGTTCATGGTGGCATTGATGTCTACTTCTTTAAGAGAGCTGGTGTTGTTGTCTTCTACACGTCGACCTCATAAGAGAACTTTCCAATCCCTCAATTTTTTCCAATATACATGATATCTCTCATTTGGCAGGCCTCTTTTAGCATTGAGTTCTTATTTTGTAGTTTTTTAACAGGTGCTGCAAGAGAATTAGGATTCAAACCTAAATTTTGTAGTTGTTCCAGCATAGCCTGATATCTCTCATTCAAGTACTGTATATCATCCTTTATTTGGCGAGTTTCAAGTTGGAGGGCGTTGCTTTCTTCAACATTTACAGAGAACTCCCGTTCAAGTTTCTCTTTGATCTCCTTCAACTTAGAGATTTCCATTTGCTGTTTCTTTAATGACCTGGTTTGATTTTTTTAGTTGTTCAGCATTTTCTTGCGCATTCAGAATTTCTTTGGGTACGGTCAGAGAAGAAGATACCTTAAATATTCTGCTCGAGTTTGTTCTGGGTGGATCCATATCTTCACTGTTGGGGAAGTTTGGAGCTTTCCCTGAGGCTGGAAGTTCTAGCTACTGAACCAATGTACTTTAGTGATTTTTTATGCCAACTATTTTCAATAATTCATTCAACAGGTCATAAGAACTTATACGAAGCAGATATTGCTTGGACTCGAGTACTTGCACAAAAATGGAATCATGCATAGGGACATTAAGGTTGCTTTATGTATCATCTCATTGATATGCATGTAAGCTTGGTTCTTTTTCAGCTACTGATGTCCAAGTATATATTAATTTCAGGGGGCCAATATTCTTGTAGATAATAAAGGATGCATAAAACTTGCAGATTTTGGAGCATCCAAACAGGTCGTTGAGCTGGTAATACTCTTATCTTCCACTCTACAATTATGGAACTATATGTACGGCGTACGCTTTACCTTTGTGAAGGATATTGTATTTGTATCCTTGTTTAAGAGGTGCATTGTTTTATTCTAGGCTACCATGTTTGGTGCCAAGTCGATGAAGGGTACTCCATATTGGATAGCTCCCGAAGTTATTCTCCAGACTGGGCATAGCTTGTAAGGACATTAACCTTCTTCACATATTTTATGATATGCAGCTCTGTATTTAATATACTTCGACATGAAACAAACGAGAGGTTTCTACTAGTCAGATGTCATTCGGTATGTAGCCAAGACTTATTATTTTGTGATTCCAAGGTTTGAGCATTCTATGCGAGTCTAGCATGGCATATCTGGAGTTGCATTACAACGGACTTAGTTATATATTAATTTGACAATGATGACTTCTGTTAAAATAATAGATAGATGCTATATACAAATAGTAAATGAGTGTGTAGATAGAAAAACAGAATACAGTGTCGAGAAAAGGTGGAGGAGATAAAAAGTGTAAAAGAAAAAAAGTTGTGAATCATTGTTTATAGTTACAAGGATTTTCCAAAAATAGAAACCTTTGCTTGAGATATAGAAAAATAGTTAGTGGCAGGAATTTTCAAAATGCCTTCAAGACTAAATATTGATGTTTTCATATGCTGATGCTTCCTTTTCAGCTCTGCTGCCATATGGAGTGTGGGCTGTACCATAATTGAGATGGCCACAGGAAAGCCTCCTTGGAGCCAGCAATACCAGCAAGAGGTAGCTTACATTTTGACTCCTTAAATTCTGTTTGAGGTAATCTCTGAATATTTATATTTACTAGAATAATGGGCTTTCAGGTTGCTGCTCTCTTCCATATAGGGACAACTAAGTCTCATCCACCTATCCTTGATCATCTCTCTGCTGGAGCAAAAGATTTTCTTCTAAAGTGCTTGCAGAAGTATGCTCCTTTTGATTTTATGCTGCTTTCCATTTATAATGAATGAATATTTGCAGGATAATTGATCATACTAAATGATTTTTTAGGGAACCAATCTTGAGGCTATCAGCATCAAAATTGCTTCAGGTGATTCTATGAGCATTTCTCTTTTGATTCTGCATATGAGCATTGTAGTCATTTTAGTGCTGCTATTGATTAATAGTGGAGCTACTGGAGTCTACTTTGTTATTGTTTTGCACGAGATAATCAACTTCGCCCTGAGATTAACTTTCAGTTTATAATTGGCTGTAGCCCGGTGAAAATACGGATTCGAATCCTCAGTCATCTATTGACATGGTATGTATAAATCAAGTATTTTTTGAAATGTTGTTATGTGTATATTTTTTAATTATTAAGTTAAAATTTGATTTTTATGACATTAATTTCACTTCTAACAGGGAAACTTTAGAGCTTCTTCACGATCATGTGCTCCAAATGTTGAATCCTGGTAAGTGTTGAAAATTTTGCTTCAATTTGTAAGGTCTGACAGTTTTTTATGTTGCACATGTAAAGAAGTTGTTTTATTTTCTCCCGTACATCATTTATTGATTCTAGCGAAACGGTTAAATTATTCTGGTTAATAGATGTTTGTTATTATGTAGACTTTGCAGCTCAACAGCAAATCCTGAGGACTCAGGAAATAATCAATTATGGGGAATGAGAAATGATGATGATGATGATGATGATGATCATGATGATCATGATGACATGTGTGTGATTGATGATAAAGAAGAGTTCTCTGTGTGTGATGTCAAACACAAATCTTTTATGCCAGATAACTTTGAGGTTCTTGCATTCAAGTTCTTGTTTTATTTAATATAAAAGTAATGAAAGCAGTTCCTGGAAAAACTTAATCTTTTCATTGTAGAGTTTCAACCCAATGTCTGATCCCTCTGAAGACTGGGGGTGTAAATTTGATGCAACTCCAGAACTGGAAAATAGAGAAGTTAGTCTGGATACTGACGAAAGTTATAAGTCACGTACTCAATTGCTACTTATCACTTTGTTTAATGCTCTTGTATTACAAGTGTTTGGGTCTCCGAATGACGCTGAAAAGTTAGAGTTTTTATTCTACAACTAGGTCAAACGGCATAAGTGAAAAAGAAAGATTACCAGAAATTCAACATGAGATCTGGTGGGTTACTAGAGCCATACAAAGAGCTACTTCTGCATTGTGAGGAGAATTCACATAAACACTAATATGAAAACTAATCTATAGAATAGATGAAAGAGTCTATATTTATGTTTTACATGTACATATTAAGTGTTTATTTTCCCCCACAACAATAGTATAGTGGTCAGCATTTTCATCTGTATAACTGTATATTAAATTAACAAAAGGGAAATCAATATTTCCATCATTTTTGTCTCTTGCATTGTGTACTTGTTAATTCTAATATGCTTATGATAAATTTAATCTTACAATTTTAACTACTTTAAAATTTGCATTGTTTTTTCTTACTAATTTGGTTGGACAAATGATTATTAGTAATTTGATTGCGACATTTTCTTGCGACTATTTTCTGCGATTATTTCCTGCGACTTTACCTGCTAAACTGCGAAAATTTTGTCAAAATCCACAGGAAAATTGAGTTTTTCTAGTAGTGACACTTACTAATTGTAATCGCATTAGGCAACACTTGAAAAACGTTATCTTAGAGGCCACGAATAACCGTCCCCTATTCTTGTTGTGGCAACACTTAAAAAGCGTCACCTCAGAGGCCATGAATAATCGTCCCCTATTCCTTTTGTGGCAACACTTAAAAAGCGTCGCCTCAGAGGCCACAAATGATCGTCCCCTATTCCTTTTATTTAGGCAACATTTTTAAAAATCGTTCCCAAAGATCATGAAAAAACGTCCCCTTAGACAATAGGCAACGCTCGCACAGCAGACACCTAGAAAATGTCCCCTATTGCTTTAGGCAACGTTTTTCAGAGTTTTGGCATCGTTTTTCAGTGGTTGCTGGAGAGCCTAAATGTTGTAGTGGAAATACCTTATTGAGGTTTAACTGAGAAAACAACAACGTTGCTTGCATGAACGATCTAGAGAGAATCAATCAGAAAACTATAAAATTAAAACGTAGATATAATAAAGAGTAAAAGAGATGAAATTGAATACGTTGTCGTTGGAAGAAAGAACGGTGATGTCGATGGACTCGAAGGTGGTGAGATGAGCGGGATTAATATGAGCGGTTACGATGAGGGAAAGGGGTAAGATGCCAGAACGAAAGGCGTCATCGTCAACTGTTGAAGATTTGGGAAATTCGTTGAGGTGGTTGCTGGTTTGGTGGTGGTGAGAGCAGACGGCGGATTTTGGATAAAATCGGCGGTGGTATGTTTGAAGAAATCTAGGAGAACATCATCACGTTTTCCTTTTCAATTTTTTTTTCTTTTTCTTTTTTCAATTTTTTATATATATGTTATTCTGAAACATGCCTCACGTTTTCCTTTTCAATTTTTTTTTCTTTTTTCTTTTTTTAATTTTTTATATATATGTTATTCTGAAACATGGATATAGAGAGGAGTAGTGGGTTGATATGTTTAACTTTTTTTAGAATGATATGTATATAGTTTTTATATAGTATATTATTATATTAAGTGTTAAATGATTTTTTATATTTAATTTCTTTTTAATAATGTTTAGAGGAAAATATTTTTTTAGTGGATAAATTTGGAGGGAAGATTGCTACCAAAAATTTGATGTTCCTAAAATTTTATGCAACATTGAATGAATGTAGCCTTTTTACTAGAAGTAATGTAACAATCTAAAAATATCCCCAAAAATATTTAAGGGGACAATTATCAAACATTGCTAAATAGTATAATGACTCTCCAAAATCGTCCCCAAAAGTAGTTAAAGGCACATTTAACAATCGTTGCCAAAAAAATAAAAGAGTGACGCTCTAAAAACGTCCCCAAAATTATTTTAGGCAACGTTATTAAAGGTTACATATATATTTTTGTCAACACCCATAAATTGTTGCCTTTACGAATTTTAGGCAACAATTTTTACACGTTACCTAAAAAAGTGTTACTTTCTTCTTCTTCTTCTTTTGTCTTTCTTTGCCATGTTCCCTTAGGACCCCTAATCTCCCTTGTTTAAGATAGATTATGATAGACCTTAGGCTTGAACCCATACATGATAACATTAGGTAGCATTCCCTTTCATCCCAATCATAGGTGCACTTTGTATGATAACTCTAGGTTGATTCTTAGTCTCCCTTTAGAGTGTCTTTCTCTTCTCATCTTCAAACCTTCTCAAAAATATCTAATAAAGATTAAGGATTGTTGTATGTTACGAGCCTTAAGTACTTGAGAAATGGTGATTGGGGGGCCTCCTCTCAATTATCTAGAGTGTTTAGCGTATGTCCTTTGGACGATATGCGACGCATTTGTTCCTAGGTCATAGTCTTTAGTGCAACATGAATTACAAACAATAATCAATGCACTTCTTCTCTAAAAAACACAAAAACAACTTCAAATCTTTTTATCCTTCAGGATCTTAATTTGGAAAACCTTTTTCATAAGGAGAGTTTTGTTAACTCTTGGTTCTACCACAAACAGGTAACGCCTAAGTCTCCAATGGTCGAGCTGCATACACCTAACTGCTAGAACTAAGTTTTAACCCTACTCGGGCCTAAAACATTTTGAACCAACCGGTGTTCTTGTTATCCCGAACTACGCTTGCTCTGATTTCTCGTACCAGACGAGAATACGTAGACACAAGATGGCGATGTCTTGGCGAGCAACCTTCCCCCACTTTCACCCGTAGTTTGCCGAACTATGTTGACTCTGACTTTCCCATTGCACGAGGGAATACGTAGGCATAGAGAGGCGATGCTCTATCGAGTCTCTTTTCCCTTCTTTTGTCCCTGAGCCGTAGCTTAGATAGTAAACACCCTTTTAGATAGACAACCAAGTGTGGATCCCGTCAAGTACGATGGACGTGAGGGGTGCTAATACCTTTCCCTTGCGTAACCGACTCCCGAACCCGAGATATATTTGCGATGACCTGTCTTTTCCCGTTTTCGTTAGGTTTTCTCTGATCGTTTCATTTCCCTCTTTCGGGATAAATAACGAATGGTGGCGACTCTTCTGTCATTGTCGGCCCCTCTTCACAGTGATGCGACAACTAGCGACTCTGCTGGGGGCACTTCCCATCCCATATGCGAGTCAACCCTAGCGCTTGGTTGTTTATCTTTTGGGTGTGTATATATGTGTTGTACTTCATTTTCCCGTATTTACTTTCAGCCTTATATATATATATATATATATATATATATATATATATATATATATATATATATATATATATATATATATATATATATATATATATATATATATATATATATATATATATATATATATATATATATATATATATATATATATATATATATATATATATATATATATATATATATATATATATATATATATCAGTTTTGCTATGCTGTTGGGGGGAAAGTTCCATCGAGAGATAAGCCGTACCCGGGCTTGAGTACAAACATAACATTAAAAGTCGAAAGTAGTGGTGAACCTGTATGTTTGGCATGCACTAGTTGCCATGAAATTCGCGCTCAGACGAGATTCTCTTTGATGACTTCTTTTCTGGCCCTTTGGGCTCGAGGGGATTTTGGATCTGAGGATTGTCGACTCTGGGAACCGATCATTTGTGATTCAGCTAAGTGAGGCCGCTTCGTTAGACTATGGTGCCAAACCAGAAATGGTAAACGTATCATTATTTCTCGAAAGTCTGTGACGCTGATGAACACACAGGATGCCGTACCTTGTCAGTGATAGGTTCATACCTGTGAGTTGGGATTGGGTTATGCAGGAAACTTTGACCTCTAACCTACCTGGTTTTCTTGTCGGTGCAAACTTTTGATCTTGATACAGTGGGTCCTAATTATCAGTGTTATGTTCTAGTCAAAGCGGAGCGCTGGTTCTTCTCAATCAACAACACAGAAGTCTTGATCCCCTGTTTGCATTTGTATTTGCATTTTCATATTGCATATTCATTAACATGTATTTATGCTGCAGGTGTACATTTCCCTTTGATTCTAGTGTTCTTATTCCTCTAACATGGAGCCTAGCCTGAGGAAGACAGTGGTATACAAGTTTCCAACACCTGACATCAAATCTCTGCTCGGTTTGATTTCTGTGGCTGACAGGAAAGTGATGGAAGACTTCAAGGAATCCTATGGGAAGCTTCTGAGTGTTGTCTGCAAGCCATCAATGTATGAGTTGAATGGTCTTTATGCTCTCTTGCAGTTTTATGACCCACAGCTGAGGTGCTTTACTTTTCCTGGTTATATTCTGGAACCTACCTTAGAAGAGTTCTCTGTTTTGTTGGGAGTGCCTATTCTTGATCAAATGCCATTCTATCACACTGAAGTTGAGCCTGATCTGGCTAAGCTTGCTGCTGCTTTGCATCTGGATGTTTCTGAGCTGAAGGGGCATTTGGCTAAGAGGAGTGGAATGCCTGGTTTCCCTTTATCTTTTCTGATTGAGAAGGCTCAGCAGTTTGCCAAAGATGGTTGTTGGGTGGTGTTTAATGCTATCTTAGCGTTATGTATCTATGGTATCATGCTATTTCCTAACATTCCGGATTTTGTAGATTTGGATGCGTTCCATATCTTTGATTCAAGGAATCCTATACCTACGCTGCTAGGTGATGTCTATCATTCTGTTCCCTACAAGAATGAAAGCAGAAGAGGGAAGAACGTATCTTGCTGCGTGCCTCTGTTGTATATGTGGTTTGCTAGCCATCCTCCCAAGTCTGGTCCTTTCATTACTACTGCAGGTACTTCAGAATGGTCTGAGAGGTTGATAGGGTTGTCTACTGAGAACATTATCTAGTTTGACAGAGATATGTTGGGTACTGAGATCATTTATAGTTGCAGATTTTTTCCTAATGTCCCGTTGGTCAGAAGGAACGAATGCATCAACTATACCCCATCCTTGATGATCAGACAGTTTGGGTATGCCTCGAGAGATCCTCCTAAGGAAAAGGAGACACAAGAATCTCTGTATCTCACTAGCTTATTGGAAGGTGATACTTTGCTTAGAGTTGAG